TCTGGCTCACGGGATACAGAACGTTCAGCTTTCCTAGCTCATTTTGCCAAAATGAGTTCCACAATGGTTGGACAAGTTCACTCCCACCAGCAGTGTATGAGAATTCTAACTGTTCCACATCCTCGCCAAAACTTGACATTGCCAGGTTTTAATTTTAGCCATTTGAGGTGGTGTATAAAACTATCTAACTATACTTTTAATTTTTTTCCCCCTGATGACCGGTGAAGTTAACAGCATTTGGATTTTCCTTTATGTAAAGCAATTTTTCTATTGCAGTGTTTGTCTTTTTCTTATTAATTTGTAGAAGGTTTTTATATTTTAGGGATTAAAAAATAGTGATTCTAGTTCTTTGTGACTTATATGTATTGAAAAATATCCCATACCACTCTGGGTTAGATTCTTTCTAAGGTATCTTTTGCTGAAAAGAAAGTCTTCATTTTAATGACTTTAATGTAGTTTATGGCTAAGGCTTTGTGTCTTGTTTAAGACATCCTTCTATATCCTTCTCTTAGATTTTATTTTTCTGAAAGAGTTATAGTTTTGTCTTTCATTTTAGGCAGAGGCACTGAATACGGTTATGCAGGTCGTGCACTGCCCAGCTCGTAGAGTGCCATTTCCTGTGTGTGAGGCTAGAGCCACCTTTGAACTGTTTTTCCTTCTCAGTGTGTTAACCCTTTCATCATGATGAAATGACCGTCTTTGTCACTAATGATGCATTTTGCCAGTTCTGCGAATTGCACCACTGCAGGGAGTTTACATCATGGTCTGTGCAGCTGACACCCCTGGACTGTGTGATGTGGAGGTGTGCTTGCCTTAAAATAGACTTGTCTAGGGGATGCCTGGGTGGCTCAGTTGGTGAAGCGTCTGCCTTTGGCTGCGGTCATGATCGCAGGGTCCTGGGATCGAGCCCCGCATCGGGCTCCCTGCTCAGCGGGGACTGCCTTCTGCTCCCCCTGCTTGCACTCTCTCTCTCCCATAAATAAATAAAAGCTTTTTTTAAAAAGCTTTTATTTATTTATTTATTTTGAGAGAGTGAGAATGAAAGAGAGAGAGAGAGAGAGCACATGAGAGGGGAGAGGGTTAGAGGGAGAAGCAGGCTCCTCGCCGAGCAGGGAGCCCAATGTGGGACTCGATCCCGGGACTCCAGGATCATGACCTGAGCCGAAGGCAGTTGCTTAACCAACTGAGCCACCCAGGCACCCAATAAATAAAAGCTTTAAAAAAATCTACTTGTCTGATATCAATGTAGTTGTATTTATAGCTTTCTCTTGGCTAGTATTGTATGGTACTTCTTTTAACCTTTCCTATTTTTATTAAGTTTATTATTTTTTTAGTAATTTCTACAATCAATGTGGGACACGAACTCTAGATGCTGAGATCAAAGTCAGATGCGCCCCCGACTGAGCCAGCCGGGTGCCCGATCCTTTCTTATGTTTATGCTTTACTTTTAACTCTTACAGAGAACATATAACCAGTTGTGTTTCACTTTTTTCAAGTCTCATATTCTTTGTTTCTGGACTGGGGTATTTTGTTCCTTTATACTTAATGTAATTGCAGATATATTTGGCTTTACATCTACTCTCTTATTATGTGTGCTTTTATTGTCCCACCTGGTCCATGTTTTTTACTCTCTTGTCTTCTTTGGGATTATTTTTTCCTTTTACTAATAGGAAAGTTATAAATTCTCTATTTTTCAGTACTTACTCTAGAAATTACAACATGCACAGTTAATTTATCAGAGACTGAAGGTAATCCCTACCTTTACCTTAACTCTTGAACATACAACACAACACCTTAGGACAATTTACCTTCTAAATGAAAATAAAAAGTAAATTATTTTTCAAATTCTTTTTATCATACAAGGCTTACTGTTATTTTGTACAATCTATTTAATTAGATTTTCTCATTTATATATCACTTTCTCTGTTCTTTACTCCTTCTTGTGCTTCAGCTTTACAACCTATGATCACTTTTGGCTGTAAAGCATCCTTTTGGTTTTCCTTTGGGAGGGTCTGCTGGTAGAAAATTGCATCATTAGAAATGAAAGCAAATGGTCTTCAGTCTGAATAATGTCTTAAAAGTTCCAAGTGTTAAGAGCCCCACTGAGTGTATGAACTTGTCAAACTATGACCCTCTGGCTTTCATGCCGGTTCCCTGTGATGGGGTGGCTGGTGTGAGGGTCTGGCCCTCTCTCCTTTCCGAGCCCCTGCACCTCTCCTGCTGAGGACAGTCCCTTAGTCTGTTTGGCTCCCTACTGTGTTGCCGCCCTTCCAACCCTCTTCCAGGTGTGGCCTCTTCTCTACATTTAGCTGTGGAGAGTCTGTTCTGCCAGTCTTCAGGTCATTTTCTGGGTTGTTTACACAGATGTGGGTGTTATTTAGCTGCGGGATGAGGTGAGCCTAAGGTCATCCTACTCACCATTTTCCTGGATAATGTCTTTATTTCATTTTCATTCTCTCTCTCTCTCTCTTTTTTTAAAGATTTTATTTGTTTATTTGACAGAGAGAGACACAGCAAGAGGGGGAACACAAGCAGGGGGAGTGGGAGAGGGAGAAGCAGGCTTCCCGCGGAGCAGGGAGCCCGATGCGGGACTCGATCCCAGGACTGTGGGATCACGACCTGAGCCGAAGGCAGACGCTCAACCAGCTGAGCCACCCAGGCGCCCCTCATTTTCCTTCTTAAAAACTTATTTTCCCTGGGCAGTCATATTCTTTTGGTGACAATCATTCCACTATTTTTTGGCTTCCAGTATTAGGGTTGGGAAACCAGACGTTTAATCTTTTCAAAGCAATCTGACTTTCCTTGCTGGCTACATTAGAGATTTCCTGTGCCTTTGGTGACCGACAATTTTGCTGTTACTTGCCTATGTGTGAAACTTTAGTTTATCTAGCTTAAGATTTGGGGGGAACTTGGATCTGAGGGCTGGTGTATTTCATCAGTTCTAGAAAATTCTTAGCCATTTTCTGTTCAATTATAGCCTCTTCCTTTCCCCTTTTCTGGAACTCCAGCTAAATGTCTACTATTCTCCATGTGTCTTACCTTGCCTGTAATTTCCCTGTTTGTCTCCTTGTGCCCCATTCTTAATGACTTCTACTTTTTTTTAATTTTTAAAATATTTTATTTGTTTGAGATAGAGCAAAGCACAAAGGGCAGCCCGGCGTGGGGTTCGAACGCAGGACACCAGGATCATGAGCTGAGCCAAAGGCAGGCGTTTAACCGACTGAGCCACCCAAGTACCCCCTTCATGATTCCTCTGACAGCTTCCAGTTTGCTAATTCTCTCATCTAAGCTGTTAAATCGGCCCAGTAGACTACATTTTAATTTTTAATGTAGTTGATGTAATTGATTAATTTTATTAATTAATTGATTAATTTTTTTTTAATTTATAAAATCTCCTTTGGTTCTTTACAAAATCTGCTTAGTTACCTTTTATAGTCAGCTGTGAAAATTAATCAAAGAAAGTCTCACCAAAATGGAGTCAGGAGGCTGGCAGGGGGGCTCTGTGCCCAGCACTGGTTATCAATTACAGACCCACCAGGGAGAGAGGCACCTTGCAGGTGGGTACAGCTTTACTAACCCCGCTCCGGCACGGAAATTTTCCGGCTGCCCCGGCAACAGCCCAGCCAATGGGAGATAGCCATAGCTCAGCCAATGAGAGATGGTCACAGCCCAGCCATTGAGAGAGGGTCACAGCCCAGCCAATGGAGACAGCCACAGCCCAGCCAATGAGAGACCAACACAGTCCCTTCCTTCCGCTATTTATTTGTATTTTATAACACGGGCATAAAATAGGAATGCATACAAATTAAATAGGTTATTGTTTATGTACATCAGTTGGATTGACTCGCATTTAGTTGATCAACAAATAACAGATTAAACCTGAAATAGTTCTTAGTTTGAGTCTCAAGTAGAAAACAGTATTTAAGCTACAAGGGAATACACACAGTAATATAACCATTCTTGTTCATTCAGAGCCATTACTGTTGACAAACATTGTAGATTTTGGTGCCACTTCTGCAAATACGTTGAATCTTCTGTTGTTTAGTTTTTATTTAGCTCATTGTTGATGTGAATAATCTATTATCTGACCTGTTTTCAATAACTGGGGTTATCCAGGTGTCATGCTTATAACCCCTTTCCTCTAAAAAGGAGCCTCCTCTCTCTGTTCTCCAGGCTTGCCCCTGGTTCTGCCAAGCCTGCTTATCCTGGGTTGCAATTCTCTGCTGTTCCTAGATAACCCCATCTTTGCTAGTAAAATAACTGACAGTTTTATTTTTAAGGTTAAAAGAGCCCATCCTTAAAATAAATCTCTCTCTCCAGGTATGTATCCTGTCACCTCCTTCCTGGGAGAACTCCAAAATACAGGGAGCAAAGCAGACTCAAATCACTAGGGAGACGGATGTTAATTGATAATCACATGTATGAAAATTAATAAAAGAAAACCTCACTTGATGGAGACGGAGGCCAGAAGGGGGAGCTCTCTCGCCCTACCGCCCAAGAGACCTATCTCCCCTCACCCAATCCCAGGGTTCTGGCGGCCCGGTCCCGCCCCTCATCGCCTCACCCAATCCCAGGGTGTTCTGCTGGCCCGGTCCCGCACCTCAGCGCCTCACCCAATCCCAGGGTGTTCTGTTGGCCCGGTCCCGCCCCTCAGCGCCTCACCCAATCCCAGGGTGTTCTGTTGGCCCGGTCCCGCCCCTCAGCGCCTCACCCAATCCCAGGGTGTTCTGTTGGCCCGGTCCCGCACCTCAGCGCCTCACCCAATCCCAGGGTGTTCTGTTGGCCCGGTCTCGCCCCTCAGCGCCTCACCCAATCCCAGGGTGTTCTCGCGGCCCGGTCCCGCCCCTCAGCGCCTCACCCAATCCCAGGGTGTTCTCGCGGCCCGGTCCCGCCCCTCAGCGCCTCACCCAATCCCAGGGTGTTCTCGCGGCCCGGTCCCGCCCCTCTCACGCCTCACCTAATCACTGTGCGTGCGGCTGGTGGCTTTTCCCTGGCCGGAGGCGGTCCGCGGACGTGCTTCGTTGAACATGGAGGCTCTGCTGAAGCGGGAGCTGGGCTGCGACCTCGTCAAGGCTACGGGTCACTCGGGGGGCGGGTGCATTAGCCAGGGCCAGAGTTACGACACGGACAGAGGACGCGTGTTTGTGAAAGTGAACTCCAAGGCGGAGGTCAGGGCCGCCGTAGGCCGGGCCAGGGTGGGTGGGTGGTGGTCGGCGACTGGGGTCTGTCTGGGTGGGGCTTCAAGTCCGGGTCTGGGGTCCTGGTGTGGAGTCTGGGGGGGTCCCAGGTCCGGGATTCGGGGTCAGGAATCGGCGTGAGGGTCGAGATTCAGGACGGGGTCTG